CTGGCCTCCTGGCAATTCCCGAGACACACCAGGCTCCCCTCACTCAGACCTGCCCCACAAACAAACAGAATCTCTCACATTTTCCATGTCCTCCGTCAGATACCTCCTCTCAGTGAGGATCTTCCTGCCACCTTCGCTGACACTATACCTCCACTTCCTATTCCCCCATCCCCTTCAACTTTCTCTTAGCACATTCAACACGTAGTACGGTTTACTTTTTCATTGGGTTTATTTCCTCCTAGAATGTAAGCTCCTTGAGGGCAAGGGCTTTATTTTCACTTCTGGTAGCATAGTGGCTAAGGCACTTGACTGCTAACCAGAAGGCTGGCAGTTCAAACCCACCAGCCACTCCTCAGAAGGAAGATGGAGCAATCTATTTCCGTAGTGATACTGCCTCAGAAACCCAAGAAGGGGTGGCTATGAGCTGGGTCCGACTTGACGGCACACAACAACAACAACAACAATAACAGAGATCCAGAGCAGCAGAGCCGACTCACAGCAACCCCTTCTTGGTTTTCAAGGAGGTATCACTGTGGAAGTAGATTGTTCCATCTTCCTTCTGAGCTCCACAGAGCAGACACTGAATATTGTCTGTTGACTGATTGAGTGAGTTAGCTAATCTGTCTCTCCGGCTACTATCCATTGGTCTACACCATAAATTATCCAATCATCTTCCTTGCTTTCCATCTGCCCACCTGTCTACCCATCCGACATAATTCATAGACACGTCTGTCTGCCTGTCCCAGCGATTCAGCATGTACTAATAAATCCACCTCCCCACCTGTCCTACCCATCAGCCTATATTCCTGTCATATATCAGCCTGTTCCCTCCATTTGACATGTGTTTATACATCCACCTGCCCATCTGTGCCACTTGTCCACCATGCATCTATGCGTTCTATCCATGTGGCATACCTCTCTCTGTCTGTACCTGTCCTACCCATCTGGCATACATTCGTTTATCTATTTCTTTGTCCATCCCACCCATCTGGCATACATTTCTATACCTATCTGTGTACCTCTTCCAACTATGCAGCATAAACTCAGGTATCCATCTATGCAACTGTTCCACATACATTCACACACCCACGTCCTTTCCAGTCACCATACATGCACATGCCCACTCATCAGCCAGTCTGGCACACGCTCCTCTCTCCACCTGTTCCCCTGTGGGTCGGTCCATCCGGCATACCCCCAGTTACCCGTATACTGACCTGTCCCATACAGCATGCATTCCTGTGTCCACTTCTGTCCTGCCCATGCACCCGGGACATGTCTGTGTATCTGTTCCCCCTTTTCATCATCCAGCCGTTGACCAATCACCTCTCCATTCCTCATCACCCCTTGTCTCCTTCATGCCCCCATTCCCTATCCACTCCTCTGCCCATCTGCCTTCCAGCTTTCCTGCCCCAATGCACCCATCCACTTCAAGCCCTCCAGTACTCACCCTTCCTCTAGTCCTCTCCTCAGTCAGAGTACCCAAGAAAGACACCGCGGCCAGGGACTTCTTTTAGCAATTCAGGGTTGTTTTCTCATGAGAAACATCAATGAAGAAAAGTCATCAAATTAGAGACTTAGAGAAGAATGGTATCTCTGTCCCATGGGAATTTCCCCACACAGTAACAGCCTGCCATAATAAAATGAACATCTTCTTTAGTGGTGACAATTAAGGCCAAGGATGAGATTGCTTATTACCATCACTGCCATTCAGCTTTTTTCTGGAAGTGTCGGCCTTCACTCCCTAAGAGCTTCTTCCATGCCAGACA